GCGGAGCTTGCAGTGAGCTGAGATCCGGCCACTGCACTCCAGCCTGGGCGACAGAGCGAGACTCTGTCTCAAAAAAAAAAAAAAAAAAAAAAAAAACTCCAATTCTTATCAAGAATTCAGGTCTACTAGAAAATGTCCTTGGTCTCATTCTAACCATTATCTGTGTAGGTGTCCCCAAATACACCCTCTGTATTAAACTGAATATTGACCTCCCCGCCCCCCACCAAAACATCAGGCCCTCATCTCTGGACTCTTTAAATGCTACTTAGTATCTTGATGATGTTATTAAGTTACAGATCTTGAGTCCAGAAGATTATCCTGGATTGTGACAGTTCGCCCTCATGCAGTCACCTTGTAACTGAGCTGCTTAGCAGTTTAGCCTCAAACCTCATTTTAAAATGTTTTATCCTTTCCCTCTTCCTCTTTCCCCTCCCCAGTTTCAAGATGTAGCTCTGAGATAAACTTTACAGCCTTGAAATGTTTTCTTTCTCTTTCCTTTCCCACTTCATGCCCCCATGCCTTATGCACATTTATTTATCTAGATGCTTGTTAAGCACACGCCGTGCTCACTTATCCGGTCATATAATTCCTTAAAAGTTTCAGGGAACTAGACAACTCTGAAAATCTGTCCCCAGCGAAAGATTACTTCAAGGCTGGAACCCATTCCCTGCTGAAGACTGACTATAAGATTGACTGTGATTAGTTTGTAACCTGGCAGGATCCACGATGGGGTCAGCCTCTTCACCAAATGAAACAACAATTCAAGATGAGTCATTGGAGTAAGTAACCCCTCCTGGGACCTCCTAGCTCCCCCTCTCCCCAACCCCCAACCTACCACCCCTGCCTCTTCCGCATTCCAAACCCTTTCTTTAAAAAACCCTGTATTCCCTCCACAAATTACAGCAGAATTGCTGTAATTTCTGCTCTTCCCCTTGCTGGCACAGATAATAAAGTCTTGCTTACTTTTAATCAGCTTGTTACTATTTTGGCCTCTTTCTACAAGCAGTGAGCAGCCAGGCCCTTTTGCTAGTTACAACCTGTGCCACTGTGAGAGGGAGACAGAGGAGGACTAGATAGAGAAAGAAGGGGAGAGGACACTGTGACAATGGAGGTAGAGATGTGTGTAATGTCACCAGAGGCCAAGGAATTCCAGAAGCAAGAGAAGCTGGAGGAGGAAAAGGACAGATTGTCCTCAAGAGTCTTCAGACATCTTAATTTCACTCCAGTGACACTGACTTCAGACTTCCAGCCTCCAGAACCGTGTGAGAATAAACTCATGTTTTCTTAAGTCACCAACTGTGTGATAATTTATTACCTCAGCGACAAGAAACAAATCTGCCCTCCACCTATTCTGTGTAAAGCCACACTCACTCCCGATGACATGTTTTGGGTCATAGTGTTGCTATCCATGGGAGCCCAGGCCCTGAAAATTCCTGTTTGTTCTTTAGAGTTAGCACAATTCCTGTTCCCCTTTGAGCCTTTTCTAATGGTGTCTCTTCCAAATCATGTTTTCATCCTCAGAAGAACTAACCATAGAACTTTTTTGTAGGTTTGGAGAGAGCCACAGCATCTTTGATAAAATATGAGGAAATCGGTCAGGCACGGTAGCTCACACCTGCAATCTCAGCACTTTGGGAGGCCAAGGCAGGTGGATCACAAGGTCAGGAGTTCGAGCCCAGCCTGGCCAAGATGGTGAAACCCCATCTCTACTAAAAATACAAAAATTAGCTGGGTGCAGTGGCACATGCCTGTAACCCCAGCTACTCAGGAGGCTGAGGCAGAAGAATCACTTGAACCCAGGAGGCTGAGGAGGCAGTGAGTCCAGATCATGCCACTGCCCTCTAACCTGGGTGACAGAGTGAGACTCTGCCAAAAAAAAAAAAAAAAAAATAGGAAATTGACATGCCCTTGCAGACCCAGGGCTTCCAGATAGCACACATGTATTTAAGGGGAGAGAAATATTTTTTCCTTCTGGCAAAACACAGTCAGCTTGGCTCAACATGAACACTAAAGACCAGAGAACTGGCCATGGGTATATAGGCCTTCCTTCCACACATCTTTGAGTACATCTCCTTTGAGCCAACCCTGAAGAGTAAGTACACCCACTGCTTAGGACTTTCATTAATTCCACCTCAACTCCTTCTCTCCTGAGGTTCTCTGATTTCTAACGTGTGGTCCAGTATTTCTCAAAGGGCATCCCGAAACACACTGGTGCCACAAAAGGGAAGGACTCTTCAGTCAAATTTGCAGAAAATGCTGCATCTACTCCACTGTCAATTCAAGGGCAATTTCATTATCACCAAATAGCTTCTTAGAAGAGCTGTGGCAAAGATACCTGCTTAATACTGCTTTAGCCAACATTTGTGAAACTTACTTGACTATGGAACTCTTTCATGTAAAACTTTTTTTCTCACATATTACTGAAATCTCACAGTTCATGTGAGTTGAAGTGAATTTAGGAACATAAACACCAATCATTCTGATATTAACCCAGTCTAATCCCAATAGACCTTAGGTAGCTGGTGGTACTAAAAGCTGCTAGTATAATAGAATGATCAAATCAAGCCTAGAGAATAAGAGTATGGTGTGAAAAATTAGAGATCTCATGAGTGTTGAGGCATAGAAAACAATCTCCCAAAATATGCTGCTTGTGCATGCTGGGCATTTCTATCAATCGAAAGGCCTCAGAAATAAGCCTCAGAATCAAGGTCCCTGGAACCTTGTCTTGTTCCTCCTCCATTCCAATTCTCTCTGGAATTTCCATATCTGACCAAAAAACTCCTTACCAAAGGAAACACATACGTCCTCAATCCCCTCCCTGAAATCTCATTATCTGTTTCAGAAAAGAAGAGTGAAGAATGCAACGATTCTTGAATGGACTTTTTCACAAAATAATGCCTTACTTTTGGGCTCACTCAAATTCCAGGAGAATCATCTACAAGTTAACTTCTGTCTCCCTGGCCCATTCTTTCTCTGTAACAACCATTTCCTGCCCCTCAAAAGAGTTAGCCGCACTTCCCATCTTCTCCTTCCCCTATGAAAAGGGTATAGAAATTTCTATACCTCTTTTGGGGTTTGAGGTAATTACTCTATGATGTGATCCTCCCATGCACATTAACACGTTTGTATGGTATTTCCCAGTTAACCTGCCTTTTGTCAATTGATTTTCAGTGAAGCTTCTGAGGGTGAAAGGCAAATTTTCCCTTTGCCCCTAAAGTGAATAAATGGAAAAACAAGTCCAGGGAAAAAAAACAATAATCATGTCTAAAAAAAAAAAAAGATAACTGATCACTGCAAAGGATCACCAAATGTCAAATGTAGCTGAGTTTATTGACAGCTGAAGCCAAGAGGGAAATATGGAGAGTTCCATTAGCTCTTCCACATCAACCAACATTCTTGAGTGTTCACTAAAGGTGCTGTGTCATTATTCCCGCTTACATGTGTATCTTTAGTCTAAGAGAAGAAAGCAGACTAGTTACTCCAAAAGCAAGCTTTCTAAAATCTCCAGAAAAAAGACAAACAAAAAGGCTTTTTATCTGAGGAATGTGAGCTCCCTTTAAATAATCAGGCCCAGAGAGGCACTGGAGTGAGACAGCAGTCACACTCCACCCCATTCCCCTTGAGCTAAGCAATCATTTCTAAGCAGCTCACTATATGGACCCCAGGCTGAGTGCCACCACCAGAGCTATAAAGTAACTTAACAATGCCAATGAGAATCCCTGACAAACAGCTTTTGTAATCACCCACTCTCCTGATTCATTCTTTTTTCTTTAATAAATTATGAGAGAGAAGGAAGGGAGAAACTGGCTAGGCAGATAGTTAGGGCAAGGTCCTCAGTGGCATTTATTTTCTAACAAAGAGCAGCCTGAAAGCTCAGGCTGCAAGCATAGATACGGAGATGAATTCCCACACAGAAAGGGGCCTCCCGTGTAGTCAGCAAGTTTCACTGACATACAGTGGGCCCCAGTGAGCACATTCCTTTCCTTTTTGGACATACTCACGTAAGGAAGCTTGCAGAGGGGGCTTGCTTGGAACATGGCTGCAACACTATAGAAAAGAAGAGCTACCCTCAGCCAGGCACATCCACCTTGAAGGGTAATATTGTTTGGCTCTGTGTCCCCACGCAAATCTCATCTTGATTTGTACTCCCACATGTTGTGGGAGGGACCCCAATGGGAGATAACTGAACATGGGAATGGTTTCCCCCTTACTGTTCCCATGGTAGGGAATGAGTCCCATGAGATCTGATGGTTTGATAAGGGGAAACCCATTTCCCTTGGCTCTCATTCTCTCTCTTGCTGCTACCATGTAAGAAGTGCCTTTCGCCTTCCGCCGTGATTGTGAGGCCTCATTAGCCATGTAGAGCTGTAAGTTTAGTAAACCTCTTTCTTTTGTTAATTGCCCAGTCTCGGGTATGCCTTTATCAGCAGCACGAAAATGGATTAATGAAAAGGGTTCTGCCCCTGATTCATGCACAGTAGGAGGAGATAAGCAATATGGAGTAACTTAGGTTAAGGATCTGCATGTGCACTAAACAGATAGGGTAGGGACTGCCGGGGATTCGCGTCTTATGGAAATGAAACACATAGTTCTAACCAGTTTTTTGAGCCCTATATAAATGGAGCACCCTTACCAACTCGCTTTCTTATTAAAACCCTTGCACTTCACTGTAAAATGACAACCTTTTTTTGAGATCCCTCTCTGCAGCAGAGAGTTTTTTCTCTTCCTTTCACTTACTACATTTCTGCTCTAAGCTCACTCCTGGTGTGTCCATATCCTTGATTTCCTTGGCCATGAGACAAAGAACTTCAGTTGACACCCTAGACAGTAAGGCCATTTCACTTGAGCTTCCTTTTTGTTCTCGGGAGCACTTCCAAAGATAACTTGGAAGTGTGTCCCACATAACTGTCCTCAACTTTGACTCAAATAAACTCTCTACCTATATTAATTTGTCTCAGTTTCTTCCCTTAGGTTGACAGCTATTAAGGAGAACTGCATCTCATGAGCCACTAAATAGGAAAGCCCTGTAAACATGTTCTCCAAGTGGCCATTTCCATTATAGATGCTCAGTTAACTTCAATGTATTTTTTCTTTTCCCTTTTTCCTATAAATTAGACCTGCCATCATACTTGCTTATTGATTGTGGCTAGCAGGTCTATGCCTTTTATTAATTAGAGTCTGAGATTTTCTTTGAGATGAGTTCCAATCAGTTTTCCAAATAAATTTCAATTTATTCTCCTTCACAGATTAGACAGTGATGTCTCTCACCTTAATAGTGGCACACCTATTTCCACATGTTTTTGTATGAATCAACCATAGTCAGAGAGCTAAGGGGCATCTTAGCTGTTAATATCTAGCCCAAATAAAAATACGGCAAGAGCCTTAAGGTCATGCTGCCTTGAAATTTAGAAAAATTTCCTTCCATAGGGCAATTTTAGCTTCTTTATTATTACTTGAAGAATATTCATTTTCTTAATGAATGCCAGGGGAATGTTAATGACCAAAGGCAGCAGGCAATGAAGGAGAGGGGCCACTGTCGATCTCTACAGCATCTGTGTTCTATAAATATTCACTTTATGTGATGAAACTTTCCCCAGAAACAGCTAATCCAGGAAACCAAAAAGTCATAGAGACGTAGGTACAAATATGAACATTTTTATAGATGGAGTAAACTCACTTTTTTTAACTTGAATTTTAGACTTAAAAGGATCAAAAATGCTGCAGAGACCTACCAGGCAGCCACATGAATCCTGGAATTCTGGGTGAGAAAAGGGATGTGTGTGCCAGCATGAAGAATTCATCCTAAAAAACAAAGGAGAGAATTAGAATGATCTTTTAGATTTACAAGGCCATTGTATTTCTGTAAAGGAGAGTTCTGTCAGACTAGAACAGAGTTCACAAGATAATCATCTCTTACTGCCAAGAAGGCAGAGCTCTTACATTTGTTTTCACAGCTTGAGCTGTTAATCTGATGACAATGTTTTATTACAACGCCAGAATTTCCATTATATTACATGGGGCTCACTTTTCTCACTGTACTGAGTGTATCACAGGGCTCCCTAGGACTTTCACCGCGGGGCTGGGGCTCCTGGTGGAACCTGAGGCTAGGCTTCCAGTCTCATAATCAGGTACCAAGTAGCAATTAATAAACAGCAAGACGCTAATTCCTTTTTGTGACATAACACAGTAATTTAATCATGACTTAAGGAAAAACAATTTTTAAATTTCCACTTTAAACCTTTCTGATTAAACTTTCTGTTGCAGAAATATGGTGCAACAGAAACAGTTATGAAAATCTTTTGTAGCAGTGGTTCAAAAACACATTTGGATGTCACAGTTTCCCTATTGTTTCTATTTTCTTATGAGTCCTATACTTTAAAATATTTGTTCTAGCATTTTTAAATCAAAATTTGTTTGTTTGTTTGTTTGAGACAGAGTCTGGCTCTGTCGCCCAGGCTGGAGTGCAGTGGCCGGATCTCAGCTCACTGCAAGCTCCGCCTCCCAGGTTTGCGCCATTCTCCTGCCTCAGCCTCCCGAGTAGCTGGGACTACAGGCGCCCACCACCTCTCCCGGCTAGTTTTTTCTGTATTTTTTAGTAGAGACGGGGTTTCACCGGGTTAGCCAGGATGGTCTCGATCTCCTGATAATTACTCTTAATTACTCAAAAATTGGAAAAGATATTTTTACCACCATCCTTACTAGCCCTGCTTTTCAGAAGAAGAGGTGGGGTCCAGAGAGGTGAAGCAGCTGTCGAGATCCCAGCTCTATGCAAAATGTGTGCTGCTCCAATGAGAAAGCCAGTACGATACCACCAATTAAAGAAAGCCCGGCCCAGTGAAAAGAAATTTGTCATTTCTATTAACCAGGTTAGCAAAGTACAACGTATATGTAATTTTTGAAACAACAAAAATAATATAAAGATTTCTCCACACTCCTTTCTTGGCTGACTAGCTTATAGGGACTCCAGTTTGAAACCTAAGAGTTTACATGGAAATAATACCTAAGGGAGTTATGTATTTAATCAAAGTACTGTATCTGATATGTACTATAAAAAAATAATTCCATTTATACTTCTGAAACTCAGCAGGCCTTTCTTTTTCAGATGCCTTAGATGATGGTTAACAAGTGTTTATAATTTAATACATGACTTCAAAATTTCAGTCCTCTTTTTCTCTTCCAAATCCTCCCTTATTCTTCTCCTAGCTCCCTTTTATAGAGTAAAACTACGTGTCCATGACAGGTACATAATGGCCCATGACAGGTAGTTTTTTGAGCACTTCTCAGCTTCCAACAACTTTCGTGTTCCAACAGACTCACTAAGAAGCTGTGTGAATGTCCATAAAAGGGAGAGACAGAGGGGATGATCTATGAGAAATCAGATGTTTCTACATAATCTTTCTGTTAAAGTTTAGGAATCTAAAAATAAACTTTGACTTAGCAAAGCATTTCCCTAAAGTGGCCTACAGGACACAGCTGCAGAGAGGCTGCTGGAGCCCAGTCATTTGGTCCTTCAGGTTTGGACACACTGCGTGAAATAGCTCTCTACTACAGGGATGCCTGGAGTTTTCAATCACCTAAGATGCATTTTTTTTTTCTTTTTTTTTAGATGGAGTCTCACCCTGTCACCCAGGCTGGAATGCAACGGCACAGTCTTGGCTCACTGCAACCTCCGCCTCCTGGGCTCAAGAGGTTCTCCTGCCTCAGCTTCCCGGGTAGCTGGGATTATGGGTGTGCACCACCATACCCAGGTAATTTTTTGTATCTTTAGTAGAGACAGGGTTTCACCATGTTGGCCAGGCTGGTCTCAAACTCCTGACCTCGTGATCTGCTCACCTCGGCCTCCCCAAAGTGCTAAGGTGCATTTTAAATCTTGAAGAGAGAGGCAGAAGCTCTAAGGACCTACTGTCTTGAGAGTTGCTTTCTGAGGCAGGAAGTTACCTTAAAAGAACAAAAGCTCCCCACAAGGGCTACCCTGTTGTTGAGGTGACTGTTTTTTCTACAGAACTGAGAGCACACTGATGCAAATGAAGGAAGGCCGAGAGAGGTTCAGCAAGTTGCATGGGTCACACAGCCAATAAGAGTGGAGCTGAGATTTGGATTGAGGCAGACTGGTCCCATATTACCCCTCTATCATGATCCCTGGTATGCACACACTGCTGATCCGTGGCCTCAACTTTCATCTTTACAGGCCCCTCAGAGGGAGTCTGTCACCAGCCATGACAGATTCTGAAGATCCCACCTTTTGGCTAATAATGAGCCCTCTAGATTTTCCTGAGTACCGAGATGATCTATTATATGGCTGCAATCTAATAACTTTCTTTTTAATTACAAAAATAAACCTTACCCATCTCCCCACCTGGCCTTTTAAGTCTGATAGAAATATAAGATTTGCTATCGCTTTTGTTCCATATTAAAGCATTAACAAGAATGGGTGAGGAAAGTGACCATTTTGTGTTAGAAATAGTAGGAGAATTCGACACTGAAGTGCCACCAGATGTAAGCCTTGTAAAATGAAGCTAAATATGTATATCTACTCATCAGCTTCTAAAAGTTGACAACTTTAACACATTTTAAATTTTAAATTATGCATCACCTACTACTGTGAGAAAACTCATATTTTAGATCAGATTTACACGACAGTGCATTTTTGTAGAGCTCTTCATTGTCTTCGTATGAGAGGGAGGAACAAATCAGAAGTTCAACATAGCACCCTTGAGTCGACACTCAGAGTTGAGTATCTCATCAGAAAAACAACCTATCAGTAGAATCTAATCTCTTATTTTTAAATGTTTCCTCTAGTTAACTGTCAAGTGATTGCCCAAGTCTTCCAAGGAGGTAAAATGTAGATATCAAATTCAACAATATTTTACACTTACAGAAGGAAATCTACAGGTTTTAAGTAAAACTTTTTGCTTTGATTTGGGGTCCTAGTGAATCAAGCCCTATTTGTATAACATGGACATAAATTATTATTAATATAATTGCTCACAGCATCTTTTCATGTACCTCGCTCCCCTAGCCTTTTGTTATGCTGACCATAAAAATAGATAGAAATGATTAAACATAGAAATGAGTTAAGGATAGATTAGGTAGATTTCACAAAGAAAAGGGAAAACACAAAAACATAAATCCAGGAAGGTAGAAGAAGAACAGACAGAGGAGAAAAGTAATGAGGCTGATCTGCAGGCTGGGCTGGAGGGCAGGAGCTCGCGGAACAGAGAGAGGAGAGGAGGAGAGTTTGGGACTGTATTGCAATCCATGTAAAAGGAACTGGAAGTAAAATATGTGTCCAAACAAAATGTCCAATATGTTCTGCTGTCCTTTAATTATTGATTCCACCTTTTGTTTTTTCCCCTTGAAGGAGAAGGACTAGATAAAAGAATGTTTTTCTTTTTCTGACTGGTTCTTCTTTGATCCCAGGTTGGGCCAGGGCTGGACCCAGCGGGGCCCTATGTTACGTTTCAACTTTTCAAAGGTAGATGCATTTTACACCCTGTGTATTCCATCAGAGAGGATAAAAATAAAAACATTACCACTGAAGCCTTAGTTAAATAAATTACTTTGTTTTGCAAAGACTAGAGTGAAGCAACATAATTATCTATTAATTCTTTCTTACCGAGAACATTAATAGTTTTTCAGTCTTACACTAATTACCAATATGACTAATGGGCAAAATATGTCATCACAAATTAGAAAACATGTTGCCAGTGTTGTATTATTGTTAGATTTTTATATTTACTACTTAAAAACATACACTTCTGGCACTTAATAAATCATTATGGCTTTTATCACTTGCCTCATTTGCTCTACCCAGAACTGTAAATTCCTTGAGACCAGGGCCATATTCCGTATTAATCTTAGTTCCTACAGCAGCACTTTACTTGTAGTAGATCTTCAATATATAATAATTGAGCAAAGTAAGAGGGAAATAAGTGTTTACACAGAAAGGCCTCCCTTATCCAGGTTTCATAGAAAGGTCGTCACAATAACCATGATTAAATACTAAAAGGATAATTTTCAAAGTAATTCACCCCAGATTGATGTACAGTACTGACCTTTAAATCTTTTAAGTTAAAAAAAGCTATAATTAATTTTTTATATGTACAGGTATACTCTAAAAGTAAATAACAGCTAATACATAATTCAGACTTAATTGCTACTTCATTCTTTTCAGCTTTGGGTTTTATTAAACAAATTGAATGCTATTAATTAATAATTTATTTTGCAATAATATAAAGCACGCATGTACAAGGGAGAAAAGGCGGTAATTATGTAGCTTATTTCGGATCATTTTATGTGGTGATACCCATAAGGCCCGTTCAGTAATAACCTACTCATTAGGCTAATTTTTATTTTTTATAGTGTAAACTTGTGGCATGAAATAACCAATCATGGAGAAAAACGATCCTCCCAGGCTACAGTGTTACCAGTTGGGAGTGTTCACTTTTGCAGAGAGCACCTGATACTTACTGGTCTGGGTTTACATCTGCACAGGGCAGATCTTGATCTCTAAACTTTCGCAGAAGAACACGGGTGAGGTCCAAGTCGTCGCCTCCACTGCTGCTGTTCATTGTGAGACAAAGGAAACAACGTGGGATTATTAGTGGCTCCCAATAGAGAACGGAGAACCAGCTGCTGACCTCACATTGTGCCCTAGTCAGGCTGATCCATCTAATGATTCCCAGTAAGTGAGATAAAGCTAATTTTCCACTGTTTTTATGGTAATGCCAAACAAGCAATAAAATTGGAAAATTTATTAAAAGTATAGTTTTGCCATGAGATATGCATATTTATAGACTTGCATTCACAGTACATTATTTTCCTTAACATTTTCACTTAATGTTATAACACAACCATTTTTCACATATTTGCATGGTTTTTAAAAACACATTTTAAAGGCTACATCATATCACATTGTGTTAATATATTAAAATCTGCAAAACTATGCTCTTAAAGTTGGGGCTCCAGTTGGGTCTGAATATTTGTTCTGTTACGTAGTCCTGAAATAAAACAATTTCTAAAGTAAGAAATAGCGTTTGGTTTCTATATGTGAGCTATATTGAGCTACATTTTCTTAACAAGAGGTCCTCAACACAGAATCCTATGTGTGCTTTAAGTACACATTAAATTTCACTGGCACACATCTCAGAAGTCTATTCGTAGTTCAAGCAGCATTACTGAAAGCCAAAACCACCAATACTGAATTTCCTTACTGAAGACACCATCAGCAATAAGACTATTCATGTCACTGTGGGGAGCTGTAGAAACAAACCCTGTATTAAATTTCACACCTCAATAATAAGACAATCTTGAGAAAATGTAGAGAAAAAGACATTTTAAGATTTTCTAAATTGGACTGAAAGAGAATGAGCTCATTTAATTAATTAAAATTCTAAATTGGTATTTAGAAAAGAGTACAGATTCATTACTTTTCAGAATTTACATTGTGTTATTTATAAAATACTTTTTGAGTAAGAATCTTTGCAAACGCTTGTCTCAAAAATTTTAAAAATGATGTATAGGCAGCATTATAGATTATATAGATATACCTGGTGACCTCAATTCTTTTTGGAAAGAATTCTTTATAAATTAACAAATATACATAAGTGATTCCTTTTAAAGAACTTAAAATACTAGCTACATTGAAGAAATGCAAGCACCAGAGGCTGGGAAGAATAGGGGAGCAAAAGAGATTGGTTAATAGGTACAAACATACAGTTATAAAAAAATGGGTACTAGTGTTCAGTAGCACAGTAGGGTGACTGTAGTTAACAACAATTTATCCTATTTTCAAAACAGCTGGAAGATTTGAAATGTTCCCAAAGTAAAAAATTATAAATATTTGAGGTGATAGATATCCTAAATACCCTGCTTTGGTTAATACCCTGCTTTGGTTAATACCATGCTTTGGTTATTATACATCATATGCATGTATCAAAATATCACATGTACCCCATAAATATGTACAATTATTGTGAGCAATAAAAAGTTTTATAACTGAAAATTCCAAAAAAGAAAAAAGAAATGTAAGCAACCACAGAGTAATCTGCAACCACTGATTTCTCTAACTAATTTTTTGTTCACAGACAATAAATAAATGAGCCCAAAATATCTTTCTGAATTGCTATTAGCATTAAAATGTAGAAAGGTCTGAGGTGGAAATGTAGGAGTTTCCAACCACATCCTGAAGAACAAACGTAAGCTCAGAATGAGAAGCAACTTCTCATTAGGCTACTGTTCAGTGTGACCCTACACATAGAATGGAACATTACAGACTCCCAATTTCTTTAATTCCTTTAGTGAGCTCTCTAACATACCAATCTGATATTTTCTTTGCTCAAAATTTATCAATGGCTTCTTGTTACCTATGCGTCTTGAAATAGTATTTGAATCCCTCCACAATCCTAGGGCCTGTTGCTCAACATTTCTTCCTGAACACAGCACCCAGCCCAGCCTAGCCAGGGCAGCCCAGCCCAGGAGAACCACTGTTTGATTGGGCAGATCTGCTTTTGAGGGTGCTGATCCCTCTGAGTCAGTATCTCCAACATCCTGGACACTTGATTGGAAGCCATCTCCGGCCTGACCTGGAAACCTTGGTTGGAACACCAATTCCACGACAAGTCCTCCCTGCCTCTTCTGCTCCATTTGTCCTGCCTGGTGGCCCTAAGACAAAACCTCAACGGAAGTGAAACGGAAGCCTAACCCTGGTCCCCATAACGGAAAGAAACAAACCCTGAAGAAAAAGCAAAAAGCCTAAGAAAAGGGGTAAAAACCAAGAAGGGCCCAAAAAAGATATGTTGAACAAGTTGTGATATGTTAAAAATGCATTGAATTCATTGACCTCATCCTTAATCTCTATCCAATTATTTTACTTCCCTAAATCTGGCCCTTTCTGAACTCTTACCATTCAAACAAAAACAAAATTTAATTGAAAAGATATTGCAATGCATTACATCAAATTAGTATTATATTTCTGCTGAGGAGGACTTTGTTTCCAGAGAAACTTAAAATGCAAACACCTCTGTGGCATCCAAATCCAGAAATAAATATTTAGAGAAAAACACTATCTCCCTCACTGCATAAAATTTCATAAAGATTCTTAAATATTCGTATGGTTTACAACTGTCCTAATATAATTTCCTACAGCTACGGCCAGAAACACACAATGGTGGAACATGCTGAAATTTACAACAAAGTTATATCTCATAAGTAGGCAGTGTGACCTCTGTATAAATAGCCCTCAGGTTTCTAACAAAGTAGGAAATACAAGCTTCTTTTTAAAGTATCTTTGTCACCACAAAATTCAAATGCTTTTTCCTAAACTATCTCTCTTTTGTTGCCTTCAAACTCCCGGCTATATTTTAAAGTACATCCCTATGTTAGAAATACTTGACATCTGTCCTTACTAGACTCTAGAAATTGAAAATTACTAGAGTCTAGTAACTTCCTGATTCTCAAGGAAGTTCATAAACGGAATCACTCTCTCTAATAATCATCTCTTAAAATTTAATGTGCACCAGAGTGACCCAAGGAGCTTGGCTGAACAGATGCACACTCCAAATGGGCCTTCCTGGTTAACAAGTCCCCACAGCACTTCTGATTTAGATGAGGATCACACCAACGTTGAGAAACACTGGGGCATCTGGGAAGACAGCAGCCTGCTCTCTCCCCTTCCTTCCTTCCTTCTTTCCTTCCTTCCTTCTTTCCTTCCTTCCCTACGCTCTCACCTCCAGTCTTTCAACCCCTCCTGATCTAACCAGCTTTTGGTGTTGATAAATTTCTGGTTCCAGGTGAGGTCTTGGGCTCTGTGGGATTTACTGCTGGCCAAGCAAATTCAGGGCCATCATCCCCACAGGCCAGGCCACATATGAATGCAATGTGAAGAACAGGAGCAGAGCATCCAGGGGAAAGGACCAGAAAGGACCCATTCTGGGAAGTGTGCCCCTCAGAGACCTACAAATCTCCAGAGACCTCAGCCTCCCCTCTCTCGCTGAACCTCAGTAGTCAAGAAAAAGCTTAATTAAAGGAGCTGATGCCTTCTATTCCTAAATGAGACAGAGTATAGGAAGCAAAGGCCCCCACTTCCCTGAACAAAACAGACATTGCTGGAAGCCCAGCTGCTGCTCTACAGAGGCAGAATGTGCTTTGACTTGGAATTTCATCCAGTTGATAGGCAACATCCTTATCTGATCTGTCAAAACAGCAATAACAAACACATGTCCTGGGGTCCCAGCAACCAGAGAAAAACCCAAAGAGTGCCAATACTTATGAAAAATAAAGGTGCTGCAGGAATACACACTTTAAAGTTAAAAACAAAACAGAAAAACCAGAGAAGCACATGCCTACACAGGACTTTCTCAAACCAAGAAGAATGGCTTCCTGAAGGTAATATTAGAGGTAGAAATTGAGTAAGATGATAGCCACTGTATAGATACAAACAGTGATGTGTAAGAAATATCCACACAGAAGGAGGACAAAAAGGAAAAAGAAATCCTCAAGGAAAGATAAAGAATTAAAAGATGGATTTGGAAGACCCTAACATGAGATGTGATAGGAATTCTAAAAGGAGGTAAAGGAAAAATAGGTGTGAAGAAATTAGATTAATAATAGAAGAAAATTACCCTGAACTGGCAGGATGCGGTGTCTCATGCCTGTAATCCCAGCACTTTGGGAGGCCAAAGTGGGCAGAAAACCTAAGGTCAGGAGTTCAAGACCAGCCTGGCCAACACGGTGAAATCTCGTCTCTACTAAAAATACAAAAATGAGCCAGGTGTGGCGGCACACGCTTGTAATCCCAGCTACTCGGGAGGTTGAAGCAGGAGAATCACTGGAACCCAGGAGGTGGAGGTTGTAGCGAGCCAAGATCACACCACTGCACTCCACCCTGGTCAACAGAGTGACATCCCGTACCCACCCCCCTAAAAAAATTACCAAAAAAGAAAAAAAACTACCTTGAACTGAAAAAAGACTTAAATCCGCAGTTTTGATGAGGAAACAGTAGGGGGAAAAATCCTTTACTCCAAGGATAAAGAAGAAATCTTACACAATTCCAGACAGAAAAAGTTACCTATGAGCGGAAGAGACTCAGATAGACTGCTGAAATCAGACTTCATACCTGGAAGCTACAAAAATAATCCCCCTCATATCACTCCCCGGATTTTAGAACTCCTGAATGCCTCCCTGCACTGTGTTTGCAAAATAAAGTGAGTTCTCCTTAGAATGCCTTATAGTACCGGCCAGAAACCATCAAGGCTTCTGCTAGACTTCTTTCATTACTTTTCACATTTACTCACACTTCTTCCTTTAGAGAGAGTACGAGAGAAGAAACTTTCTCTCCTCCATGTCTGGAAAACACCTGTTTATCTCAGAAGAAGCAATTTAGGGGGCATAGCCTTAAAAAACCTTCTTTGACACCCCTAAGCAGATCTCCTCATGTGGCTTATGCACAACCCCTGCACCAAGTATCTACCTGTAAGACTTGCCCATCTGTTTGTATGGATCATTTCTCTGCTTGACTGTAAACTTTCTGAGGGTAGAACTCATGGCCTTGTAAGTGTTTGTGG